CCGATTATTTTGGGCCAAAATGATATTTATAGGATGCTCTGGGCTCTTGGACACGAAGGCAATAACCTTAGCGCCTTTTGGCGTTCGGGATAAGTTTCTTTCAACAGGGAGTGGGGAGAGGGACTCGGTCACCCAGAGGCCCGCTGTCCCTCAACACCTGTTTCTAGGAGGCCAGGCGTCCGCTTTGCTTTTACACTATGAGTCAGAGAACAGCGAGAGGCACGCAGGGCCACTAATTTTCCTTCCTGCACACCCTGGTGTGGGTCCTGTCTGAGGCCTGCCGTGTGCTGTCAGGGGAGACGTCATCAGGGAACTTTTCCTGCTGTGAGGAGGGTGCAGCCCCCACCTTTCAGAGCCTGGGACACCCTCTTCCTCTTGTCCAGGATCCTCAGGGATTTCCTAGGCTTGCACTCTCACCCAGACATCACTGGGCCATAACTGAAACACCTGCTTCCAGTGTGCTCAGGTCCTGCAGCCTCCTGTCCATCCTTGCCCCGCCTCCCGCCCAGGAGAAAGACTCTGACAGTACCCCTGGAAGAGGGAGGAGAGTGGATGTGACGAGTGAAGATTTGGGTGGGGAAAGGAAGGCCTGAGTCCTGGGAGGAATAACTTGCCAGGCTCCGAGCCCCCGGAGACTATGAGCAAGGCTGAGATGCCCCCTTCCTGGTGCTCAAGCTGCAGGTGTTGGAGAGGGCTCTAGAAGCCCGGATTTTAAGTGACCACCCCAGGTTAACCTGGGCATGGTCAGGCAGAACAAGGAGGAGAGGCCAGCAGTGAAGGGCGGGGCTGGTGGGCAGTGGCTGGGGGTGTCCTGGTGGGGCTGGCCGCCCTTGCTGCCTCTGACTTGGGCCGGACCTGCCCTAAGTGGAGTGGCTCCTCCATTCTTTACACCCCAGGCCCCCGGCAGGTGCCCTGCCTTTCCTCTGCCCCTCTCTCTGCCAGCCCGTTCTCTCCCTCCCAGCCCCTGCCTGCCCAGATATAAATATAAGAGCATTTTCCATGGGCTGAGACAGAAGGGAAAACATTCAGCTTTATTTTCGGCTTGTGAAATTCCTGTCCTTCATTCCCAACAGGTGCAGTCGCCTCATTTAGATATTGGGACCCAGAAATAGAACACAATTTACAATATAGCTTCCTTTAGGGATCTGGATGCTAAAAAAAAAAAAAAAAAAAAAAAAAAAAAAAAAAAGCCCTCCTATGAGATGCCGAGACTTAACAGCTTGACAGAAACTGTGGTTGGAGCTCTTGCCTTTTTCCAGGCCGGTGGAGACCCTCACCCCTGGCAGCCTGACCATGAAGCAGAGGAGGCAAGAGCTCCGGGAGACAGTCGGGAGGGAGGGGGCCCTGGAGGACAGGCTTCTAACCCTACTCCTCCTCAAGACCCTGGTGCTGGCCTGTCCCCTGCCTTTGCCCTGATGGGGATGAGGGAGAGGAGATGGGTCAGGAAACAGCCGTGACCATTGGGGAAGGTGACTTGGATACAACCTTTGAAGGAGATGCTTCTAGTAAACCCCATCAGTTAAGATCAGCTGTCCCCCATGATCCTTGGTGTGTGTTTTTGGTTTTGCACAGGGTCTCGGTCTGTCGTCCAGGCTGAGTGCAGTGGTATGATCTTGGCTCACTGCAACCTCCACCTCTTGGGCACAAGCAGTCCTCCTGCCTCAGCCTCCTGAATAGCTCAGACTACAGGGGTGCGCCACCACACCCAGCTCATTTTTTTTGTATTTTTAGTAGAGACAGAGTTTTGCCATGTTGCCCAGGCTGGTCTCAAACTCCTGGGCTCAAGTGATCCACCTGCCTTGGCCTCCCACAGGGCTGGGATTACAGGTGTGAACCCCCATGCCCTGCCCTCATGATCTTTTGTAGACTGAAGGAAAGAAGAAGGTGAGGTCCCCCTCTCCTCAGCACTGAGTGCAAGGACTCTCGAGGCAACTCTTGGCAAAGCCCTCTGTTCCCATTGGCTGTTTAGGTGGAATGGTGTCCCCCACTTCCATATGTTGAAGTCTTAATTCTCAGGCCCTCCGAATGTGACTATATTTGGAAATAGAGGCTTTGCAGATGTCATGAGTTGAGATGGGGGCCTCCTGGAGCAGGGCAACATGACTGTGTCCTCATAAGAGGAGAGACAGAAAACACACACACACCAGGGAGACGCCATGGGAAGCCAAAGCCACCAGAAGGCCTGGAACAGCCCCGCCCTCACAGCCTCCAAAGGAACCAGCCTTGCCGACACCTGGATCTGGGACTTCCAGCCTCCAGAACTGGGGGAGAATGAAACTCTGTTGTTTCTGCCACTCAGGCTGGGGGCCTTTGTTATGGCAGCTGAGTGGTTGCCTCCCTCTCTGGGGACGGCCAATCCCTGTGGGGGAGGCAGTGGTCCTGGTCCAGGAATGTGAGAGAGGCTTTCTCAGTGTCTTCACTCCTCCAGCTCACATGGAGGCTGGTAGCGGCTGCAGCCTGAGCTCTCCTGGGGTCTGTTTACTCAAGGTCACCCTTAGTCCAGAGGAGCCCAAGGTCTAGGTCAAGTTTCCTCTGGGATGTCCCCAAGGCTCCTCAAATAGGTGTCGTCAAACCATCTGCCCAAGGGCCCGTTAGCACCTGGCAAGTGTTAGCCAGGCTGATCTGCCGCGGCCTGCCCCGAGTGGGGCTCTCGCTGCCCAGGTTGGGACTGGAGCAGCCAAGTGGCTGAACAACAGGGTGCTTCGTGTGTGGTCCCTGTGAGCCCTCCTGAATATTCTCATGGACAGACGGATGGACAGGAGGCTCAGCGGGCTCTGGGGAGCAAGGGGAGCCCTTGCCGCTGTCCACGTGGCTCCATTCCAGGACCGGGACAATGATGCCTTCCTGGCTGGAGCCAGAAGCAGAGCAGCTGACAATGGGCCAACCCTCCTGAGGAACAGGTGTCCCCCAGAAACCACCTCCACTGCCCTCCTGAGGAACAGGTGTCCCCCAGAAACCTCCTCCACTGCCCTCCTGAGGAACAGGTGTCCCCCAGAAACCTCCTCCACTGCCCTCCTGAGGAACAGGTGTCCCCCAGAAACCTCCTCCACTGCCCTCCTGAGGAACAGGTGTCCTCCCAGAAACCTCCTCCACTGTCCTCATCAGTGAAGGCGTCAGGGACTAGGAGCAGCCTCCTTGCTCCTTCCTGGTTGCTGCCCCTGGGGTTGAGCTGACAACGGGCCAACCCTCCTGAGGAACAGGTGTCCCCCCGCCCCGAGAAACCTCCTCCACTGTCCTCGTCAGCGGGTGTCTCCCCCAGAAACCTCCTTCCGCTGTCCTTGTCAGCGGGTATCCCCCCCAGAAACCTCCTCCACTGTCCTCGTCAGCAAGTGCCCCTCCCGGAAACCTCCCTCCACTGTCCTCATCAGTGAAGGCATCAGGGACTAGGAGCGGCCTCCTCGCTCCTTCCTGGACGCTGCCCCTGGGGTTGAGCTGGAGAGGTTGAGACATGCTGGGAAGAGGAGGACCAGCCCAGTGGGTGGTCACCCAGCAGCTTGGCGGTGAGAAGAGGCCATGTGTAAGAAGGAAATGCCACCATCCCACTGTACGGGGGGAGCAGGACTCCGGGGATGGGGGTGTTGGGTGTAGACAACCATGCCGAATTGGCACAGTGTCTCAGCAGAGCAGGGCAAGGGTCTGGGACTCGACAGATGCCCCAGGTACCATGGGTGGACAGAGGCCCAGACCCTCTGCGAGACAGCAGTGATCACGTCAGACCCTCGCAGCATGTGAGGGCTGCAGGAGGAGCCCTGAGTCCTCTCTTCTGACCAGGCAGCAGGGAGGACTCACTGCCCCCAGCCGCACAACGCCTGCCCTGGCCTTGGTCTCGGCCCTCTCACCGGCATGAGCTAGAGCCTCTAGGCCGTTCCTCTGTGCCATGGGACAGGCAGCTGGGAGGACTGACTGCCCCCAGCTGCACACCACCTGCCCCGGCCTTGGTGTTGGCCCTCTACCCAGCACAAGCTGGAGCCTCTTGGCCGTTCCTCTGTGCCGTGGGATGCTCTCCCACTTCTTTGCTGGCTTCTGCCCACGACGGCGCCCCTGCTCACCCGATGGCAGCATCCCCACCTCTCAGAAGAGTTTTTCACAGTGGCAGGCCCTGATCCAGAGTCTCCTGCCTACTTGGTGGCTGAAGGCCCCAGGTGATCCCCAAATCCTGCTGTGTCAGGGAGTTTCTCAGAGTCCCACCTCCTCCACAGAACCAGGGGATTGGCCGAGACTCAAAGCTTCGAAGAATGGAACATGCAGGTGTGCAGAGACCGTTTATTACCCCATGGCTGTTCTTGCCTGGAAAGTTGAGTGCCCTGAGATCCCAGCCCCTTGAGGCTCTGAGCAGGACAAATCCCAGAGGCACGCCGTCTCATCCCAACGCACCCGAACCACCAATTGTGGGCTCCCCCAGTCCTGCCCCATCTTCTGGAGAGTCTGGCGAGGTGGGGAGGGCGCGTGTGTGTACATGTTTGTGCACATGCGTGTAGACGTGTGACACGGGACAACTTGTCCCAGACCCCAAACCGAAGGCTGGCAGGGGCCGGCTGAGAGGTAGTTGTGCCTACTGAGGAAGGACCACACGGCCGTGCTTACTGTAAGTCCAAACTGTTCATTTCTGCTGCAAGGGAACGAGGCAGCCTTGCAAGTCATCTGGCGGCAGTGCCGGCCCATGCTGGTGGCCACCTCCCCAAGGCTCTGACTCTTGGAAGGGCAGACCCAGAGACCTGACCGCATTGAAATGGAACCATGGCTCTTGTTCTGATGACAGTCTTCGCTGGGAGAGGAGTCTCCTCTGAGTGGGCTCCGTGGGGTGGGAGGCCTGGGTGAGTGGCCTCCGCCCTGGTGGCCCCGCTGGACGTCTTTGGTTCTGACTGGACACAGATATGGAGGATGCACCAAGTGTGAAGCCAGGCCCTGCCCTCCCAGACTCCTGGCTCCTCTGGCGGTAGGAGGGACACCAGCTCTCAGGGCGAGGACCATCCCTCCTACCTGCACCGACTATGTGCCTCTCAGGGGCCTGGGCAGCAGCCAGACTCCTCGTGCCGCGCCAGGAGGGACATGCGGGAGAAGGTCTTGGCACAGCGCTGGCACTGGTACTTCTTGGTGTCCGAGTGCGTTTGCAGATGGGCCCGAAGGTTGGAGCGGTCGGCAAAGGCCCTGCTGCAGTGCGAGCAGGCATAGGGCTTCTCCCCTGGGGGAGGAAGAAGAGGGCCGGTGACACCATGGAAGGTGGCCTGAAGGCTAAAACACCCACTGTGACCATCAGTGGATACTCCCATCCCTTCCCTACAAATGCTCACAGCCCGAGCACCCAGGGTTGAGCTGTGTGGGGACGGGGTGGCACGCCACACCTGGGCGAGACACACCTGAAGACCCTCTGAGAAGCACAGGCGGCCACAGGCTTTAGAGCTCCTAATGTTGCTGCAATAGCCCTCCCGGGGGCCTCGGCCACTGGAAGAGGACGGGGGAAGCACTGGGGGCCTCTGGCAGCTGTTCCTGGCCACTGACAGGCAAGTGGGGGGGTCTGGCCAGCTCCAGCAGAATCAAGAGCAGGGGTAGAGCTGGGGACTTCAAGGAGGCAGCATTTAGGAGCCACCTCCCATCAGGACAACATGGGGTCTGGACAAAGTCCTGTTTGAACCTTGGCCCAACACCTGTAAAGGGAAGGGTGACTGGGAATCATGTGTCCATTCCTGTAGCCCCATAGAGTCCTGAGAGACCCCAGCCTGCAGCCCCTGAAGGGCCCAGAGCACCTGCATTCCTGCTGGTGGGACACCAGGCATGCTCCTAGCCAGGCCAGCCTCTTGCAGGGCCTCCCCACACCCCTCACTCCCAGGCTGAGGGCACCAAGCCCCAGGGCCCTTTGGCATGGAAAGGGGGTGTGGCGGGTCTCCTCATCAAAGGGTTGAGAAAAACCGGAAAGGATTTCCTGGAGACCTGGAAAAGGCCTTCCCTCTGGCCTGCATCCAGGTGTGACTCAGAAGGTCCCAGTCACAAGAGTCATGACTTAGGGGGTAGGGAACCTCCAGTTAGAAAAAGTGTGAACTAGCTGGGCACAGTGGTTCATGCCTATAATCCCAGCACTTTGGGAGGCCAAGGTGAGAAGACAGATTGAGCCCAGAAGTTCAAGATCAGCCTGGGCAACATAGCGAGACCCCTGTTTCTACAAATAATTTAAAAATTGGCTGGGCATGGTGATGCATGTCTATGGTCCCAGCTACTCAGGAGGCTGAGGCATGAGAATCACTTGAACCCAGGCAGTCAAAGCTGCAGTGAGCTGTGATCAAACCACTGCACTCCAGCCTGAGCAATAGAGTGAGACCCTGCCTCAGACCAAAATAAAAACAAAAGTGTGAACCTCTGGGCCTGATGTGGAGACTGAAGCTTATTCCTGGAGCCCTTTCTTCCTTTCTGTTTTTATTATTTGCATGCTGAGGTTGACAGAAAGCCTGGGCAGAGGCTGCTGGCTGGCTCTTGGGAAGAGCAAGCCACTTTTGTACTTTAATGGCATTATTTTTTTGATTTTTTTTTTTTTTTTTTTTGAGACAGAGTCTCGCTCTGTCACCAGGCTGGAGTGTAGTGGCACCATCTTGGCTCAATGCAACCTCCACTTCCTGGGTTCAAGTGATTCTCCTGCCTCAGTCTCCCCAATAGCTGGGATTACAGGTGTGCACCTCCACGCCCAGCTAATTTTTGTATTTTTAGTAGAGACAGGGTTTCACTATGTTGGCCAGGCTGGTCTCTAACTCATGACCTCAGGTGATCCACCCACCTCAGCCTCCTAAAATGCTGGGATTATAGGTGTGAGCCACCATGCCTGGTCGGTGTTTTGTTTTGTTTTGAGTTGGGGTCTTGCTCTGTTGCTCAGGCTGGAGTACAGTGGCATGACCACAGCTCACTGCAGCCTCAACCTCCTGGGCTCAAGTGATCCTCCTGCCTCAGCCTTCTAAGTAGCTGGGCCTACCAGCAGGGGCCACCACACTCAGCTAAGTTTCTATTTTTAGTAGAGACTGGGGTCTTGCTGTGTTGGCCAGGCTGGTCCTGACCTGAAGTGATCCTCCTGCCTCAATCTCCCAAAGTGCTGGGATTACAGGCGTGGCTCCTGCACTGGCCCCTACTGACACCTGGACTTTGGACTTTTGGCCTCTAGTCTGTGGTCTGTGGGACTCTGCACAGATAAGTCAGGAGGCAGAAGCTGAATTGTTTATAAAATCACCCCTCTTCCTTTTCTAACTCCCACAGCCCTCCCTCTTCCCCCAGCCCAGACCGTCCTTGCAGACCTTCACCCTGTCCTACCTGTGTGGGTGCGGACGTGGCCCTGCAGCAGCCAGGGCCTGGAGAAGGCCTTTCCGCAGATCTTACAGGTGCAGGGCAGCGTGTGGGTGCGGATGTGCATCTTGAGGGCGCCCAGGCTGGTGTACTCCTTGTCGCAGTACTTGCAGGTGAAGACGCGCCCCGCCTGCAGGTGGCAGTGCAGCTGCTGGTGCCTGGCCAGCCCGGCCAGGGTGTGGTAGGGTTTGTGGCAGTGGAAGCATTGGAAGCTGCCAGGGGCTCGGGGCGTCCGCTCAGCCCCGAGCAGTTTTTCTGGAGCCCTGTGCCCGTCTGGGCCCAGGATTGGGGACCACTGTGTGGGCAGCACCAGCAGTGGGGCCAGGTTGAGGTGGTTCAGGCTGTCTTTGAGGGGTACAATGGGGGCCCGGCTGGCCCAAGGGTCGACCCGGCTGACTTCCAAGGCGTCCGGCCCAGAGGCCCCCAGAGCTTCCTCGATCCGTGGAAGGAGGGGCAGGGAGATGCAGGCGATGGCCGAGGAGCCGTCCCAGGGCTGGGGAAGGTCACCGGGCACAGAAGGGGCCTCCTTATCTTGGGGGAGGAGGGGCACCACCAGCCCCCCACAGGCAGAGCAGGCACCATTGATTTCTAGAGGGGTGGAGGGGAGAGAATATACAGATGAAGACTGAGTCCCCAGCGCTTTGTGTTTCCAGCTCCGATTCATGGGCCCAATCCCAGCCCATCAGCAGCCTGGCATGGGAGGTGTAGCCGGGAGCCCACATGCAGACCCAGCTTGCAAGGGAGCTGGCGGTGCTGTGCAGGGAAGTGACAGCATGGCCAGGAATGGAGTCATCTAGAACAAGAAGGCCCCGCGGTCTAGAGAGTGAATCTCACTTCCTCTTTAAACACAAAGAAACATCTGACAGGACCCTTCGTGTTCAGGAACATGAAACAGGCCTCGTGGCTAAAGGAGGGCCTTTACGCCTCGGCTGGGCGGGTCCCTCTGATGAGTGCCCCCCCACCGCCCCCGCAGAGGGGTACCAGCCTGGGCCGGCATCCTCCAGGCGCCCACGCAGCACCCATAAGTCAGACGCTTGGCAGCAAGGAGCTGGCTGAGTGTAAAATCAGCCCCCTCATAACTAATCACCCTCCAGTCACCCAACAGCTACCCCTCGGGCATCTCCTTTTGTGGATAATGAGGCAGTGAGCTCAGAAGCCTCCCTGACCGCTGACCAGTGCCCGCTCTGCTGTGCTCTCAATGCAGCCGAGCCACATGGCTGGGGTGCTCTGGCCCAGGCTTTCAGAATTGCCCCTGGCTGGGCTCCTCCCCAGGACGGTGGTTCCCGAATTTGGGGGCCGGCACACCACACACCACATGGTTGGTCCACTTAAGGGCAGCAGCCCCCAAATAAACAGGTTAGTCTGCAGGCAAGAGTTAAATTCTGTATTTCCCCAAAGCCAAAACAGCCCTCAATCCCTTTCTTACTCTAGATGTGTTAAAATAGATCTCTGGCTCTGTTTCTACCTCCATGCTGAGGCTTTGGGTAGAGAAAGACAACCCATAGAATAGGAGAAAATATTTGCAAATCAGACTTCTGATCAGGAATAGCATCTAGAACACTAGAACATATAAAGGATGTTAGCAAGTCAACAATAAAAAGACAAATAATACAATTTTAATATGGGCAAGGGATTTTTTTTTTTAAGATGGAGTCTTGCTCTGTCGCTAGGCTGGAGTGCAGTGGCGCGATCTCTGCTCACTGCAACCTCCGCCTCCTGGGTTCAAGAGATTCTCCTGCCTCAGCCTCCTGCATAACTGGACTATAGGCGCCCTCCACCACACCCGGCTAATTTTTTGTATTTTTTAGTAGAGACAGGGTTTCACCCTGTTAGCCAGGATGGTCTCAATCTCCTGACCTCGTGATCCACCCGCCTCAGCCTCCCAGAGTGCTGGAATTATAGGCATGAGCCACCGCGCCTGGACTTTTTTTTTTTTTTTTTTTTTTGAGACAGGGTCTGGCTCTGTCACCCAGGCTGGAGTGCAGTGGCATGAATTCAGCTCACTGCAAACTGCAACCTCCACTTCCCAGATCCAAATGATTCTCCTGCCTCAGCCTCCCAAGTAGCTGGGACCACAGGTGTGCACCACCATGCCTGGCTATTTTTTTCCCCAGATAGAGTTTTGCTCTGTCACCCAGGCTGGAGTGCAGTGGCGCTAACTTGGCTCATTGCAAACTTCGCCTCGCAGGTTCAAGCATTTCTCCTGCCTCAGCCTCCTGAGTACCTGGGATTACAGGCACGTGCCATCACGCCTGGCTTATTTTTGTATTCTTAGTAGAGACAGGGTTTTACCATCTTGGCCAGGCTGGTCTCGAACTCTTGAACTTGTAGATCTGCCTGCCTTAGCCTCCCAAAGTACTGGGATTACAGGCATGAGCCACCATGCCTGCCCCACCCCACCTTTTTTTTTTTTCTTCTTTTTGAGATGGAGTCTCACTCTCGTTGCCCGGGCTGGAGTGCAATGGCGCAATCTCAGCTCACTGCAACCTCTGCCTCCTGGGTTCAAACGATTCTCCTGCCTCAGCCTCCTGATAGCTGGGATTACAGGCACCTGCCACCATGCCCAGCTAATTTTTGTATCTTTAGTAGACACGGGTTTTTGCCACATTGGCTAGACTGGTCTCAAACTCCTGGCCTCAAGTGATCTGCCCATCTCAGCCTCCCAAAGTGCTGAGATTACAAGCGTGAGCTACTGCACCTGGCCTGGGCAAGGAATTTGAATAACTGTTTCTCCAAAGACAATACACAAATGGCCAATGAACGCATGCAAAGATGCTCAATGCCATTAGCCATCAGGGAAGTACAAATCACAATCACAATGAGACGCTCACACCCAGTAGGATTGACAAAAAGAGACAATAACAAGCACGGTGAGGATGAGAAATAGGTAATTCAAAGGAACATCTCCCATCTGCCACTCTCTCCTGACCTGACCTTCTCCCACCCTCAGTCTTCCTAATTACAGAGTCATCAGGTTTCTGTCCACCCAGAAGTGAGGGCAGTGACAGGATAAGGGGCAGCGTCCAAGAGAGTTCTGGGGAGATAGCACTCGGGGAGCCCCGGGTTTCCCGGCTTTGCTGGGGCCTCTTGGCAGGAGAAAGTCACCATTTCTCGTCTCCATCTCTAAGACATGGCTACCTTTCTGCCTCCAGGTATTGTCACAGAGCCAGGACCCTGTTTGTGAGCCCAGTGGCTGAGCCCAGAGGCAGGACGGGGCAAGAGACAGTCTTGCCCATCAGGCTGACCATGTGTTTCTGCTGGGATTTTAAATGCTTTCCCAATACTCTCTGGGTTTTGTTTGCTTTTTTATTCATTCTGCAGTCCAGATCCTGGGGAGAAGAGACTGTTTTGTTTTGAGACAGAGTCTCACTCTGTCGCCCAGGCTGGAGTGCAGGGGTGTGACCGCGGCTCACTGCAACCTCCATCTCCCGGGTTCAAGCGATTCTCCTACCTCAGCCTCCTGAGTATCTGGGATTACAGGCACCCGCCAGCACACCCAGGTAACTTCTGTATTTTTAGGAGGGACGGGGTTTCGCCATGTTGGCCAGGCGGGTTTTGAACTCCTGACCTCATGTGATCTGCCCGCCTTGGCCTCCCAAAGTGCTGAGATTACAGGCATGAGCCACCACACCCAGTTGAAGAGACTGTTAAGTACCTTGCTGGCTTCAGGGGTTCCCTGGGGAGCCATAGAAGGAGAGATTGAGGGGCCCCAAACCCCAGCACCTCAGGTCTATCCTGGGGTAACATCTTGGCAGAAAGTCGCCAGGGCCCCCTGGCTGTCAGAAAGCCATGCAGCTGGGGCTACAGTGAGGAGGGAAGCGGGGGCGGGAAGCAGAGAGCACTGCGGGCAGCAAGGCTACTCATGACAGTTGGCCGCTGGGCCCAGCACAGCTACCCAGATTTGCACACTCGGATGGACTCTAAACAACACTTTGAAACTTGCAACTATGACCCATGTAAATTCCATTTTCCATCACATCTGTAGTTACATGTGCATCCACATACACATAACTGAAGCCAGTGTCCTTCACCATGAGCCAGGCACTCCAACAGTTTCTGCTCTATTTTATTTTACAAAATTGTTGGTAGTGACTCGAAACTGATTTCAAAATGCACATTTGAAAAGCACGGTCCTAGCTGGCACCTCCTGGTGGCAGCCTGGGCCTCGGGTGTGGGTCCAGGTGGGATCCCCCCCTACACCCAACTCTGGGTTCTGAGCTGGGATAAAGGCCTCTTGGGGGTGTTGCTGGGGGCCCCTGCCCCAGCAGTGCCCTTCCTGCTCTCCCCCACCGGCCACAGCGCGTGAGTCCTGACCACTGTGTCTGCCGGTGCCTCTCAGTGGGTCTTTGTCCCAAGAAGCTGCCAAGCCAGGTGGGGACTGCTCTCACCACCCGTGTGGCAGGCTGTCCTCTGAAGGACACAGTCCTCTTCTCTCGTGTCCCTAAGCCTAGCAGGCAATGGAAATGAACGGACAGCCCAGTTGCTGGGCACCCATCTCCCCAGGCTAGCCAGTGTGTGGAGGATTGCAGCCCTTTAGCCCAGCCTGCCCAGGCAAGCCTACCAGGATGAGCAAGAGGGCTTCTGGGGTGAGGGGAGGTGGGGGAGGGAGGCAGGCTACGGGAGAAGGCTCACCTGAACTGAATGCAGGAGGGGCAGTGCCTTTGCACCGGGAAGAGCCCATCAGTCCTCCTCCTCACCATCTTCTGTGCTCACACCCCCAGTCAGCATGCGCTGGGGGTCCCTCAGCCAGGCCACCCCAGACGGCCCTCCCTCCCTCCCTCCCTCCCACCACCCCGCGACCCCTCCCAAATGTGTGTGCCAGGAAGATGACTCCAGGGTCCCTTTAGCTGGGGCTGTGGTGGTGGGGACAGGCGGCGTATTTAAGAGGTGAGTTCCAGGGAGACTTCGGGGCTTAGAAAACTTCTCCAAGTGGAGAGAGAACCTCCCCCGCCCTGCCGGAGGCGGGGCTCAGTGCCCTGAAGTGGAGGCACCCGTGGGCCACCCACCTTCCTGCAGCCGCAGCCGCTGCGCAGAGGTACTGGCTCCTTCTCCTCCCACCTGGGACAGGTGTCCCCCCACTCCCGCTCCCAGGGGCCTCTCTCTGTCTCCCGCCCCGCAGGGTCGAGTCCCGGGAGGGGCTCGGGGATCGGGTAGCCTGTACCTCTCTGCGTCTCTAGCCGCCGGTAGTTGGGGACCCTGTGGCTGGAGTGCGTTTTCACCAGGAAGGAGCGCGGCATGTTCCCCTCCCGGGCGGCAGGCCGGGGCGGGCTGGGGCGGGAGGGGCGAGCCGGGGTCCCGACTGCTGAGTCCGCGGGCGCTTGCGGGTAGCGCCGGGCCCGGGCAGGTGCGGAAGGGGTCAGGCTCATTAGCATAGCGCGCCGCCTCCGCCAACCAGCGCCCGGCGCGAGTGGGGCGGGGCCACGGGGGCGGAGCTGAGGGCGGGGCGGGGCCGCGGGCAACACGCCCAGGACAGGTGCGCGGGCGGGGCGGGGCGGGGCGGGGCGGGGCGGGGCGCGCGTGGCCACCGGTGTCCTCCCCACGGGACTTCTCTGGCGCGCGCGCCGCCGAGTCACACACCGACCCCTCGGGCCTGGCCGCCCACTCGCCGTGAATGAAAGGGCAGAGTTCAAAGCTGAGTGGAAACCGAACTGGGCTCCAGTGCACACAGCGTGGAAGCGTCTGCCGAGCCTAGTTCTCGGAAAACCCTTGCTCCGGGGCATGACGCCCTCTCCACGGCCTCGCCTCCCCATCCCTTCTGCAAACGCACACGGCAGGATTGATGGGCAGAGCCCAGGAAGTCCGAAGCTGACCCCACTGACCAGCCCCAGTGGCGGCCCAGGGTCAGTGCCCTGGAACAGGCCAGGGACCGGTGGCCTGGGGACAGTGGCCCTTTCTGGGTGGACTGCAGTCTCCGAAGCCTCCCCCGCTGGAGACAGCCCTTTAGGAGTTTGCCGAGTGCCTCCAGAAAGCTCTTTTTTGGGGGTACAGAGGACTTGGCCTGCGATTCTGGAATTCCCAGGGGGTCAGACATGGTTATGGGAAGTGTAATAAAACTGGCTAATCACATGAATTCTGCAACAGCTGCACGTGTGACCTGGGCAAGCCGTTTCCCTCCTTTGTGGTCCTGTAGAACCCTCCGGGCCATAAAGAGCTGGGAGCCGCTGTGTCCAGTGTCTGGGTCTCTTTCGACGTGGACATTTCATAATGCTGGGGGCTAGGTGGGGCCATCTCTGGGCTGGCATGCACACAGGGTGTCCATGGCTGTGCCGCCGGCCTGCCTCCCCAGCAGGGCTCCCACCTCAGAACTGGGTACCCTTTGCCCTCTGTGGGCCGGGGGTGGGGAAGGTGGTGGGTGGTGAGTCCATGGAAGCTCTGAGGGAGAGACAGCAGGGAGGAGGGCCATGCCACAGCAGCGTCCCACGTCCCACATCCCACATCCAGGATATGAAAATCTGGGATAGTATCAGCCCCGCTTTTCCAATGAAAAAAACCAAGGCTGTGAGGCTGGGCTCGGCAGTTCACGCCTGTAATCCCAGCACTGTGGGAGGCTGAGACGAGAGACTGCTTGAACCCAGGAGTTTGAGACCAGCCTGAAAAACAAGATGAGACCCCGTCTCTACAAAAAAAAAAAAAATTGTTTTAATTAGCCAGGCGTGGCAACACCCATCTTCAGTCCCAGCTACTCAGAAGGCTGAGGAGAGAGGATCGCTTGTTGCAGTAGCCTCAGGAGGTGGAGGCTGCAATGGGCTATGATCACCCCACTGCACTCTAGTCTGGACAACAGAGCAAGACCCTGTCTCAAAAAATTAAAAAAAAAAAAAAAAAAAGACCAAGGCCATAGGAGGTTAGGATGCAGTGGGATTGGGACCCAACCACATTCCAACTCGTCTGCCACTTGGTAAGGGGGAGTGGAAGGACAGGTGGGGGTGCCCCTGGAAGAAGGTGCCCGCCTCTCCTGCAACCGCGGCCTGGCACCACCCTGCCGGGAGTGTGGATTTCAGAGGACACATGCCTGCCTTCTGCTTATTCACCTGTTCCTCGCCTGGAAAGGTTTCTATTTATAGCCTCCCTTCCTTCTCTCTCCCCCTCGCAGACACAGATAAGGCTTGCAGATACCTGAGCCAAGCCTCCACCCACACCGTCCCTCCCCGCCCACCTACCCATTGTGTGGCCACCCGCCAAGCCCCAACAAGCTTATCCTAATCCCAGCTAGAGCCTCGTGTTATTCAGGGCTGCTATAGCTCTCCTGTGGAGAATGGCTGATCTCACCCTGGAAACGCCCCAGAGGGCCTGCGAGCACCTTTGGGGTAGGGTCCTAGGGCTGCCACAACCACTTGCCCCCCAGGGACACTCAAGGCGGCTGCAGACTCACTCTTCAGCTGTGACACACAGGGCGGTGTCCAGGCTGGACCCAAGAAGGCCCCACAGAGGGAAACATCAGTGTCCCCTTCCCACATGTGCAGCCTCGGGGTGGGGGTCGGGTGAGGGCGGCCGTCTCCATCCCTTCTGTGTCCGCCGTTCCTCAGTGCTGGCAGCTTGGCTCTGGGGGTTAAACTTACGCGCCCCTGCGGTGGGAAACCCACGGCCCACGGCCTGCTAGAGCCGCCCCCTGAACTGCAGCAGGTGATCCAGGTCCTCGCCCCCTTCCCTGGACATCTAGAACATTGGGATGATGACTTGTGCTGGGTCCGGCAGCCTGGCCCCTCCCATCTGCCTCCATCAGACACCCAGGAGCGGTTTTCCAGTGGGGAACCCACCCCAGGAACTGCTGGTCAGGGCAGAAATGGTTACAGTTCCATTTATATTGACATTTTCATCCTTCCTATGCGTATGTCTTCCTGCTTTTCTGGTTTTACAGTGAATGTAACCACAGTGCCTGGAGATGTGCACACAGGTATCCATCCAGGTAGACATCTCTGTCACCATTGACTGTTATTCTGAGATGGAGTCTCACTCCAACCTCCGCCTCCCAGGTTCAAGCGATTCTCCTGCCTCAGCCTCCCAAGTAGCTGGGATTATAGGTGTGCACCACCACGCCTGGCTAATTTTTGTATTTTTAGGAGAGACGGGGTTTCACCAGGTTGGTCGGGCTGGTCTTGAACTCCTGATCTCAAGTGATCCGCCCACCTCGGCCTCCCAAAGTGCTGGGATGACAGGCGGGAGCCACTGCTTGTTTTTTACTGATAGGGCTTTATGACCCAAACCTTGGAAACCCTGACTCCGAGTTAGAACATGGTCCTTGAGAGCTAGACCAGGAGGGGCTCAGCCCTTGCTACCTGCACAATGCCCGCCTGGGGTCAGGTGCATGCTGGGGGTTTAGCAGGGCTTGTTGAACTGGATGGAAGAGAAGCAGGAGCTTGCAGACAGCGTGGCCTTTTTACAGGCCCTGCCCATGCTCTGGGGGCACGTAGGCCCTGTCTGTCTCGAGTGGAGACACTCAGGTGAAGACCCAGGCCCCCAAAGGACAGCCTGGCAGCTGGGCCTTGGTTGTCCTCAGACTCAGAGAGACGGCCCCTCCTGTAGGAGCAGAGGCAGTTCCTCGAGGCAGACATCCTGACTCGGGACAATCCCATGCGGCCCAAGGTCATGGGCCCATGGAAACGTGAACCCAATGCTTGAAATCTCAACGTCCAGCCAGACTAGGCGCCACTGTGTGCTTGGTCACCCTCTGTGAAGGGGAACTCACTACTGTTTATGGCTGCTCACACCACCGTCTGAGAAGGGAAGGTGGTTCTTTTTTTTTTTTTTTTTTTGAGACAGAGTCTCACTCTGTCGCCCAGGCTGGAGTGCAGTGGTGAGATCTTGGTTCACTGCAACCTCCACCTCCTGGGTTCAAACGATTTTCCTGCCACAGCCTCCCAAGCAGCTGGGATTACAGGCATGTGCCAACATGCCTGGCTAATTTTTGTATTTTTAATAGAGACGCGGTTTCACCATGTTGACCAGGCTGGTCTCCAACTCCTGACTTCAGGTGATCCACCCGCCTCAGCCTCCCAAAGTGCTGGGATTACATAAGCCACCGCACCTGGCCAGGAAGGGTGATTCTTAAGCTGGGGTTCAATGGACACATCCTGTGTGATATGGGGGTCCTGAGAGGCAGACGTGGTTGTTTTCAGAGCCCCCAGTGAAACTGCCTTTCAGTGCCAGTGCCAGGTGGCTGGCAGGCAGCCCTGTGCTCTTGGGAGATGAAGGGGATGGACGTGGTATTTGCCGTGTGCCTTTCCCGGGATGTGTCTTTTGCCTGGCACATGGCCTGATGCCTAGTTGTCTGACCTGCAACCAGGAGTCCCTCCAGGAAACTTGCTTACACTGGCAGACGTCCCATGGCTCCTGTCTGATTCACGTCCAGGTTATGCCTGCCTGACCATCGCTCTGGTGCTGGGGCCTGTCCTGTGTCCCCTGCATCCCCGAGAAAACCCAGCCTGGGCAGCCCCTGGTTCTTCCTTGTGGAAGGTGCAAATTCAGTCCCCACCACAATAGGAAACACGTTCAAAGACTTACTACTCACAGATCCTGGGCAGGGAGGGCGCTGGGGGTGGGGAGGGCCATCCTCCACCCCCAGATCCCATGAGGCAGAAGTGAAGGGTCCGGCAGAAAGAAGAGAGAGCGTGTGGCAACCAGCCGTACGCACAGGGAATGGGGAGTGGTCAGTGCAGTTCACGGTCAAATGCCTGAATGGTCTGATTAAAGGAAGTGCAGGGAGCACGGGGAGCCCAGGCTCCTGGGTGGGAGAGACGCCGCTAAATGCCCATCTCTGGCCACTGGCATGGGCGGTTGAGCGTGGTGTCCTGGTGCCCAGGCTGCAGGCTTGGCCGTGCTGCCTGTTAGAACAGTCCCTACCTACACCACCTATAAGACACATGACACTATACAAAGCCTCGGCACAGGCCGGGGAGTGACACAGGCCGGGGGTGACCGGTGCCGAGGGGCCCTTGGGCGTGGGGCAGATGAGGTGAGAATTGAGCCATCAAGCAGCGAGGCAGCGTGCATGTGAGTCTGCAGGCCGCGGCCGTGTTCATGCGTGTGTCTGTGGGCGTATGTGTGTGGGAAGTCGCAGTAGCTGCTCTGAGGTGACATGGAGGCTGGGCATCAGCGGGTAAGTCCCGGGCACCAGGAGAAGGATCTGTGGGGTCCCCAGCATGGTCCTGCAGAGTTGGATACCTGAGCTCGGTTCCAGCTCAGCCGCCTGCTCTCTGCCAGGGTCCTGTGAGCTTCCCACCTGCCGTGTGAGGGAGCT